TTTTTTTTTTTTTTTTTTTTTTTTTTTTTTTTTTGTACCAGGGATGGAACTCAGGTCCTTGTGCTTGCAAGGCAGGCCGTAGCAGAACCACTAAGCTAAATCCCTGGCACATGGGATGCTTCTTTTATAGTACTCTATATAGATTAAAAGTATGCAATTAATGTGTAATTTAGTATTCTCAGTCTTACATGACTTACACCAGATAGGTAACATTCCATTGGAGATAATCAAAACTGTGTTTTTAAATGTATCTAGGTGCTATGCTTGCAAGGCAGGCCGTAGCAGAACCACTAAGCTAAATCCCTGGCACATGGGATGCTTCTTTTATAGTACTCTATATAGATTAAAAGTATGCAATTAATGTGTAATTTAGTATTCTCAGTCTTACATGACTTACACCAGATAGGTAACATTCCATTGGAGATAATCAAAACTGTGTTTTTAAATGTATCTAGGTGCTAAGCTCAAATTAGGTATACTTACCCTTTACTAAGTATTTCATGATAGTGAGTTCCAGTTTGTATAACTCGAATTGCAGTTACATTTTGTTAATAGTAAAAACAGTAATCAAATTAGGATTGGGTTGAAATCATTTTATAGAAATTACAAAGCTTAACAAATGCACAACTGAAGAAAGGTCCACATACTTCACTTGATAGACAAGCTGGAAAAGTGCTATTCCTTAGGCCCAAATATCCACTTAGATATTTAAGTCTACTCAAATATAAAGATAAGTGGGAAGTGGTGGTTCTAAGTTTCTGTATTACAGTCTGAATGTTGCCTAAGTGATAACTACATGAAATAAGGTAGTGGAGTTTCAGACTTACTTGTGTCCTTAAACAAGGTCAGTGATATTTCAGGGTTTTGTTTTATTGATTAGATTTCTTATTTTTCAAGTAGAAACAATAGCCTTTATTGTTACTGGTTTTTAGGTTAAAGGTGAATTGTTATGATACTTTGCTGAAATGAAACCTGGTGAATAGATTGATTTCTTTGACACTGTAAATGTGAGGCATGAAAGTTGATATGGAAATATCTGTGAGATATTCAAAGTTAAAGCTTCATAAACTTTGCATTTTTACTGTAAAAAGTTTGCTGGCGTTTGTCTATCCTTTTCAGTGCCTTTGATGAAAAAATAAAAGTTTTGAAAATTCCTAGAAACAAATACTACATGTTTATTTTATATGATAGCAGTGATTCTGAAAATGTATTCATAACTTAAATGCTCTAGGAGAGTCTACCCTCAAGAGAATTTTATTGTGGATCATTGTGTAAATCAAAAGTTAGTTTTACAGTTAATATTTATTTCTTATTTTAATATGGGAACTTTCTCACTCACAAGAATTACTTAAGTTCCTAAAGGACTGTATTTTCTGAGTGTGTTCCTGAGGAAATAAAACATAAATGAGCACAGGAAATTGTGAGAGAATGCACTGATAAGTACTACCCTGATCCAAATAACTATTTGGACCTTTTATAGGATCTCTGACCTATTATTTTTTATGAGGTTAACTCTAAATGACTGTTCTCCAGAATAGCTTAGAATGAGCTTATTTCAGTTTAATTCAGCTCCAAACATGTTAACAAGTCATTATGAACTGATACAATTCTATCCCTTTTTATTCACTGGTTCCTCTCAGTTCTGTGAAAAAAAAAGATAAAACTCTTTATTGCTATGGAAATTTAACAGTCTTATCTCTGTATCCTATCCATCTTAAAATCTTCATGGACCAACCTAAGGATTTTTAGGTTTGATAGAAATTTTTAAATTCCAAAACTTACTAGACTTCTAGTGATGTAGTCGTACAGGACATAGGTTTTCTATACTCATGTAAGCATAATGGATATTTTCATTAAATGGCAGTCAGACTCTCCCCAATACCCATACCTGCAGCTTGGGCCACCAATTCTTTCATTATGAGGTAAATAATTCAGCAGCATTGATTTATCAACTGTATGCCTTCAGTTTTTTTATGAACATAAACTACATCACCTAAACTGGATACTTTTACATAACCATCATAATTGAAAGTCTATGCTATTTTAGCTAGGAATTCTTCCATCCCCCCCCCAAAGCTCCTTTGTCACACAATACTTCTGCTGGGTAAAGCACATTGTAAAGCCTACAACTTCACTGCTGAAAGGGATGGATTTGATGAAGTACAACATAGAACTCCATGCCCTGAGGTACTGTCAAAACACGAGCAAATTCAGTAGCAAAGAAAGAAGTCAAGTATATTTAACATGAAGTTGTAGTTCAGAGTGGAGCAGGTAATAGTCTGGCAGATAGGCCCCAAACTTAACTGAGGAATTGGATAAGTAAACTTACTAAGCCTTAGTAAGTTGCCACATATACCTGCTTGTATGGAAAGTGCACACCTACTCCAGTTTAGAACCACAGAGGGTTAAGGTTTCATAAATCTCTGGTTGAACCTCAAGATTTGGATACAGAAAGAAGAGGTAAGAGAGAACCTCAATGGAAAATAAATGTTAGAGAAGACTTGCAAACTGTCTGAACCTTGAAAGCGTTGTTTTACCCACACCCACATCCATCAGCAAGAGGTGTTACTTTACTGATTAAAGGAGTTTGAGTACAACCTCTGACCTACCATTGGTTGCTCTGTAAACTGTGTGATCACGGGGTCAAATTCTAGCTAAAATGTAGAAGCAGTAATTATAAAAAGTGAGCAGAAACATCAGCAGTTGCACTGTGTGCAGACGACACACTCCACAGAGTTCAATCAAGTAAATCCTAACCAAACAAACAGCAATACAGCCATAACCTATAAAAGGGAAAAATCAGAAGTCAGAGTTATCACATATTATACAAAGTATCCGTTTTCATGAAAAAATTATGAGATATATCAAAGAAGCGTGAGTATAGTCCATACCCAATTTAAAAAGTAATTGAAAGAAACTGACTGGAAGTGGGAAGGACATATGTTGAATTAAGCACATGAAGAGATGAAAACAGCCTGTATAACTATGTTGCAGTAGATGTGGAAACCGTGTTAAACAATTAAACATTAGTTATTCCTTAAATAGTGAATATTAAAATAAAGATAGACAATATTTTAAAAGAAACAATAAAATTCTGGAGTTAAAAAATACAAATGAAATGAAAAATTAAGAAACAGTACACTTGGGGCCAGGGATTTAGCTCAGTGTTTCCACCGCCTGCCTAGCAAGTGCAAAGTCCCAAGTTTGATCCCCAGTACTAATTTTTTTTTTAAAAAAAGAAAAGAAAAGAAAGGAAAGAAGGATACACTTGGAAATAAATCAGTAGAAATTATCCAATCTGAAGAAGAGAAAAAAAAAATGAAGATCCACAGAGCTTCATGGACCTTCAAGCATACTAAATATGTAAAATGGGAGAGGCAGAGAAGAGAAAAAAAGGCAGAAAAATATTTGAAGAAATGTGAAAAAAGACTTCCCAAGTATTATGAATAGCATTCATCTGTATATTCAAAAATCTCAAAACCTCAGGTAGGTCAAATGCAAAAGGATCACTACCAGATTAGCTATCAAACTTTTAAAAGCCAAGAAAAAGAAAATCTTAAAAATAGCAAGGGGAATAAAAACTCATTATGTACAGGTGAAAACACTATGATTAACAGCCAGAAGGCAGAAAGATAACATACTCAAACTGCTGGAGAAAAAAAATAATAATCAATTAAGGATTTTATATTTAGCAAAACTTATACAAAATTAATATAAAATAAAGATTTCCCAGATAAGACAATTTATCACTTATACACCCACTTTACAAGAAGTAGTGAAGGAAATCCTTTAAGCTGAACGCAAACGACAACAAATAATAACCCAAAGAAATTAAAAGAACTAGTCATATAATTATGTAGTGCTCTGGTTTGAATATAAGCAGTGTTCCCTAAAGGTTAAAGGCTTAATTGTCAGAGTACCTCTATTGGGAGAGTCTACGGTTTTTTCAGAGGCAGAGACATGTGGAAAGGCCTTCCATCTTTGAGGGTGTACCTTTGAAGGTCGTTGTAGAACTCTGTTAGTCCTCAGCCTTGCTTTTCATCCTGGCTTTGTCGTACATTCCCACCATGATATGCTGTTCTCTTCAGAGGCCCTACTAATGGGCCACTAACCTTGGAACAGAACCTCCATAACTGTGAGCAAAATAAAAGTTTTCTCTTTTTCGATTAATTACCTCAGGTATTTTATTATAGAAAGGAATATGACTAACATATGTATGTGAACATAGATACAACATAACTATAAAATGAAAAACAATTTGAACAAAAAATAAAAAGACAACAAAAATAAATAAAATAGAAAACCAGAAAATGGATAAAATGAAAAGTTAA